ACTTTTTTTTTTTTTTTTTTTTTTTTTTGGTAATAATAATAAAATTATTGTATTTCTGCACACCCATATATACAAAACAATTTAAAATAAAAATAAAAAGATAATAAAAAAGAAAAAAATACAACATAAAAAAATATAAAAAAAAAAAAAAAAATAAAATTTTTTCTTTTTTATCTATAGTAAAATATATAAATGTGTGCATTTTTTTTTTTTTTCTTTTTTTTTATTCTAATAAGAATACAAACTTCTTAAAAATGAAATATATATTGTTTATTAAATGAATGATATAAAGTAAATATATTAAAAAAGGAATATTAAATAAAAAGATTTAAAATATTTTCTTAAAAAAATTTTGTTCTACTTTTAAAACAGATCCTTTTATTGAATCGTTTTCCTTATATTCAATAGTTCTCGATTCTTTTTTGTTCTTTGTTATGATAAATCTGAAAAAAAAAAAAAAAAAAAAGAGGTAATATATTAAATGAATAATTTAATATTTATAAAAATATTATTACCTTAATACATGAATTTGAAGTTTTAATTTTTCTGATATTTCTTTAATCATAGAAGGATATATTTCCATAGAAAATAAAATATAATATGCTTCTAATTGTTTTTTAATTGGTCTAACTAGTTTTTTTTTACCTAAATACATTATTTTTATTTTTTCAGCATCTATTAATTTTAGTTCATAAGAATATTCTGCTAATTTTTGTTTTATTTCACTAAGTTGAAAATTACAAGAAAATAAAAAGTCAATGTTATAAGAACTTTTAGCTGATTGTAGTGTTTTATATATGTTTACATCTTTTTTAACTTTTTGTTTTTTAAATTTTCTAATTAATAATTTATAAATATAGTCATTTAATGAGCCATGTAATTTATACTTTTTAAATATTTTTAATTTCTTATTTTCCCCATTTTTTTTAAATGTAAAATGATTATTATATTTGTTTACATTTTGAATGTAATATTTATCTAATTTTTGAATTTTGTAAGATTTACATATATCCAAAAGTACTAATAAAAAAAAACATAAAAAAAAAAGAAAACATTTAAAAATAATATGCATAACAATCTAATTGAAAAAAAAATTATTTCATTTTAATATATTTTTTCATCAAAGTATTTATGTAAAATTAGGATATACAGATATAAAAAAAAAAAAAAAAAAAGAAATAGTGAACAAAAAAATCTAAAAAGTTAGCAATCATAAATTACTTTTTTAAAGATAAAAGAATTGATTTTTTTTCAAAAAAAAAAAAAAAAAATTATGAAAAATAAAATAAAAAAAGATAAAATAGATTAAGTATAGCAATAATGAAATGTGAACTTTTATTTTTAATTTTAAAAAAAAAAAAAAAAAAAAAAAAATTCATGTGTTTTAATTTAAAAAAATTTTTATTGTATTTCTTTTATATTAAGAAGATAATTTACTTAAAAAAAAAAAAAAAAAAAAAAAAAAAA